GCTACAGATGCATAGCAAGGGCTCATCCATTAATTTTTTTCCCCTGCTTCCTTCTGCTTGTATAATCCATCCATTAATACTCTCCTTTCAATCAACCTTACACTTGCAAGTGGTAAAGAGTAGATTAGTGCTACATGCTATGGTTTTGTAGTGGTTGAATTATAATTACAATTATTTAAACAGTGCCGACATATTCTACAGCGCTGTACAATGGGTAAACAAGACAAACATTTCATTTTAAAAATACATGTAGGGCAAACAGGAACAGTAGGTGAAGAGGGCCCTGCCCAAACAAGCTGACAATCTAAAGGATGAAATCACAAGAGGCATGCTCATGGCTTTTATTTTCCAACATGGCCTTCATGATCCCACTCTGTACTACTCTGCCAGTTTCCAATATTCTGGGCAGGGTTTTCCATGCTCACATCCCTTGCTCCGCTACTGGATCACCAAGATAAAGATGAGACGGCATAGGATAAGGAGTTAAATAACCCAATTGATTCCTTTCCAATGCACTTATGGTTAAAGGGTTACTCTAAGCACTATGGTCACTTCAGTGTTTGGAAGTGGTTATGGTACTTGGAGTCTGTATGTGCAGAGTTTTGCTATGAAACACTGCACATACAGAGCTTATTGCCTCTGTGAAATTGAGGCAAGAGTTTAAACCCTTTGCGATCCAGGCTGGCTAACACCTGTTTTGTGCATATTGGATGCATAGCAAAGCTCTAAACCAGCATTTCCCAATTGGTGTTCCACCAAAATGTATAAAAACAAAATGGCAGCATGCTGCAAGGGAGAAGTGGACAGTGATCTCCCTGCCCAGCTCCCTCACACACAGAAGTGATGCCGGAGCCGGAATATGACGTTGCTCCTGCATAACTAAGAAGCGCACAAGGGAGCTGAGCAGGGAGATCACTGCTCCCTCGCTGCCCGCAAGCCAGCCGCTCAGCAGCCCCATTGGACCCCAGGGACCACACACCAGCAGCCCCACTGGACCCCAGGCACCGCACACTCAGCCAAGCAGCACCACTGGACCACGGGGACATGCCAGCACTCCCAAAGGTAGGGGGCCGGGTGGAGTAAAATAAAAAAAAATTTTTAAAAATTGTATGTGTGTCTGTTAGGGAGTTTGTATGTGTTTGTGTATATCAGTGTGTTTGTATGTGTCAATGTGTGTGTGTATCTGAGTGTGTCAGTGTGTGTATATGACACTGTGTGTATGTGTCAATGTGTGTATGTGCCCATGTGTGTATCTGCGTGTGCAAGTGTGTGTATATGTCACTGTGTATATCTGAGTGTGTGTGAATTTGTGAGTCAAGATGCATGTGTTTGTGTGTCAGTGTGTATCTGAGTGTGTGTATCTGAGTGTCAAGGTGTTCGTGTCTGTGTGCCAGTGTGTATCTGTGTTCCACCATGAGCCAGTGTTTGTGTATATGTGTGTCAGGTACATACACACACACACACACACACACAGATACACACTGACACAGAGATACACACACTGGCACATACAAACACAGATATACACACCTTGACACACACCGGCACATAAAATCAAAGATACACACACTTTGACACATAGATACACACACCTTGACACACAAATACACACACACACACACACAGATATACACTGTGTGTCAAGGTGTGTGTATCTGTGTCAGTATGTGTATCTGGTGCCACTATGTGCCACTGTGATACACAGACACATACAAACACAGATACACACACAGATACATACATACACACACACACATACACACACACACAGATACACACTGTGTGTCAAGGTGTGTGTATCTGTGTGTCAGTGTGTATCTGTGTGCCACTATGTGCCAGTGTGTGTGTGTCTGTGCATCAGATACATACACTCACACACACAGATACACATTGACATACAGATACACACACTGGCACATACAAACACAGAAACACACACCTTGACACACAGGCACACACCGGCACATACGAAAAAACTGCGGGGTTTTTTTCCGGGTGTAGTGGGAAAGGGGGGTTCCACGATGTTGATACAAATCATGTTGTCAAATGGTTCCACTGGGAAAATTAAGTTGGCTACCTGTGCCGCCTTATGGTAGCAGAAACCCTGTGCAGCCAGGCCTTATTGACCTCGTTTCTGGAATCCATTCTTCATTCATTGTATTAAATCATTAGATATGTCCCAGGATCTAAATAATTTCCACAATGCCTTTAAAATCCTAACATACCTTTGTTGATCCTGGGGATTTTATTATATAACCACTCATTTTTCTGCCATGCCCATCTTGCCTTGTGACCTATATTGTATACTCGCTGGTAGCCGCTTATTTCTTTCCCATGTTAACACGTTAATTCAGCTTTACACCAGCATATTCGGCAAGATGCGTGTAGAAATGACTAGGAATAAAAAAAGACTTAAGGAAAAAATATACCTAAGAAATTCCTATTTATTTGATAAAATAATTAAGACATATTATTAAGGCAAAAACTTTAAAATCAATCAAAACTAAAATAGACTACAAACAAAACATATGAATCTAGTATTTTTATGAGAGGCAGAAATCTAAGTTATTTATTTGACATTACCCCTTGCTATTTTTTGCTGCCCTTTTGTTGCCTTGTGTCCTAACGACATGAAATCCATGCCACTAACCCAGCGGTTGAATGCCTTGTCAGTCACTTTCACTGCATGTTCCAAACCTTGTCCTGTATGCTCATGGAAGACCTAGTGTCTTCCATTCTTGACCTGATCCACCCTTTTCCATTTACAGACTCCTAAATTAGCGAAAGCATCCTCATACAACGTAAACCTTATCTGCTAACGCACAATGCATAACTCAATGTCAGTTGTTTTTTTTTTGTTAGTTTGTGTTTTGTATATAGATCTAATGTTCTCATTGTTTGCCTCTACAAATGTATACTACTACTATTGGTCTGCTTTAAAAGACATCCTAAAAAGTTTAAAAAAAACTAAACAAAGTGATTACAGTATGATTGCTGCAGAATCGGAGAGGCAAGTTCATGTACGGACAGGACCAGTGCAATGATTTTGGACAACACAGGTGAAAATACATTTTGCTACCCACCTGCAGGCTTGTGTCTCTCTTTTAGTCCCCCCCTTGAAGAAAGGGAGACTGTTGTCACTGATAATGTCTGGGTTCCAAGCAGAACAGAAACAAGAGAAGAATCACTGCTAGAGAAAAAGGTAAGTCAACTTTATTTTTATTTTGGGGGAGCACCTGGCATCTAGATGGGTAAAGGAATACCCCAAATGTTAAAACCAAAAGTTGACTTTTAATGTTGGTGTGTTCCTCAGATGCAAGTCTATCATATTAATATTTGTGTATACATTATAAAATTCAAAACATTTGCATATCAACATACGCCTACAATAGATATGCATACATATACACACACACACACACATATACATATACATATAGAGAGAGATTTTGTTTTATTAAACCTTGATATTTTAAAAACACATACACACACTCACTGACACACACACAATCACAAACACACTGGCAAACACATTGGTATAAACATATTCACAGTCACATATACTCAAACATACCTTCACTCTGACACATACTCACAGTATCCCGGTGCACAGAATGACGGGCAAAAGATGGGAGCTCTCCAACCCGTCACCCAGACTTTGTGCCTCCCAGGCCAGTCCAGTCCAGACTAAGAACATATTTTAGTAGCGCCAGCCTTTTTATGAGCTTCTCCATCTTAACAGCAAAATAAATGTTAACCCCTTAGCGACCGAGGACGGTTCAGAACCGTCATCGGCATTTTTGCCTTGAGGACCGATGACGGTCCTGAACCGTCCTAACGGTCTCCGTTACTTACCTGATCGCCGTCGTTCCCCCGGCGGCGATCAGTGTTGCTCCGGTTGTGGGGAGACTGCCTGCAGCCCAGACAGTCTCCCCACGGCAGATTAGGACCCCTGTGGCCATGTGATCGCTTAACACAGCGATCACATGGTCACAATGGGTGTCCTAGTGTCTGCCTGCAGGGGGACTGCCTGTGCTGACAGGCAGTCTCCCTGCTAGTGTAAAATCAGAAAAAAAAATAAAGTTAGTGTTAATAAAAAATAATTTTTTTTTATATATGTGTATATATGATATATAGACATATATTATATATCATATATATATATATCATATATATATAATGCCATACTAAGTGTATTTTTATATTAATATGTACTTATATTAATATAAAAATACACTTATAATTAAATTACACATGTATATATATAATATATATAATAACTATATATATTGTATATATATATTATTATAAAATATAAATAATAAGTAATTTAAATTAAATAAAAATGTTTTAAAATAATAATAAAAAAATAAAAAAAAATTATATATCTATATGAAATTTTATTCTAACTGTATTTTAAAATTAATATATATATATTTATATCAAAATACACTTAGAATGAATTTGTATCAGGCCCGGACTGGCCATCGGGCATACCGGGCAAATGCCCGGTGGGCCGCGATGGCCGTGGGGCCGAGGCCGGCAGGGGATCTCCCCGGCCGGCCCCTGCAGGGCCAGCGCTACCCGAGCGCCGGCCCGGCTATGTGTCTCCGTGGGCCGGTGGGGAGATCAAAGATCTCCCCACCGGCCCACAGACAGGGAAATGCGGCCGCCGGCTGGGTGAGGGAGGAGAGAGGACCCGGCGGAGCTCTAACAAGCAGCTCCGCCGGGTCCTCTCGCGGGATTCTGAGCGTTGCCGCGGTTACCACGGCAACGCTCAGATCTCGCGAGAGTGAACTCTAACCTGCAGGTTAGAGTTCACTCTCACCACTGGACCACCAGGGAAGGCAGCATGGCTCCCCACCCCCTCATGGCAGAACGGATCTCCTCCTCCCCCCTCCCAGGATAAAGGTAAGAAGGGAGGGGGGGCGGGATATATAAATATATATTTTATTAATAAAATAAATATTTAAATTTAAATAAAAAATACATTCACACCCCCATACACAGCACCCCCAGACACACACAGCACCCATACACAGCACCCCCAGACACACACAGCACCCACAGACACACACAGCACCCAGACACACACAACACCCAGACACAGCACCCCCCAGACACACACAGCACCCATACACAGCACCCAGACACACACAGCACCCAGACACACACAACACCCAGACACAGCACCCCCCAGACACACACAGCACCCAGACACAGCACCCAGGCACACACAGCACCCCCAGACACACACACCACCCAGACACACACAGCACCCAGACACACACAGCACCCAGACACACACAGCACCCCAGACACACACAGCACCCAGACACACACAGCACCCAGACACACACAGCACCCAGACACACACAACAACACCCAGACACACAGCACCCCCCACACAGCACCCAGACACACACAGCACCCAGACACACACAGCACCCCCCAGACACACACAGCACCCAGACACACACAGCACCCAGACACACACAGCACCCAGACACACACACACAGCACCCCCAGACACACACAGCACCCAGACACAGCACCCAGACACACACATCACCCCCAGACACACACACAGCACCCAGACACACACACAGCACCCCCAGACACACAACACCCAGACACACACAGTACCCAGACACACACAGCACCCCCAGACACACAACACCCAGACACACACACAGCACCCAGACACACACACAGCACCCAGACACACACACAGCACCCCCAGACACACACCCCCCAGACACACAACACCCAGACACACACAGTACCCAGACACAGCACCCCCCCAGACTCACACACAGCGCAGACACACACAGCGCAGACACACACAGCACCCAGACACACACACAGCACCCCAGACACACACAGCACCCAGACACACACAGCGCAGACACACAGCACCCCCAGACACACACAGCACCCCAGACACACACACAGCGCAGACACAGCACCCAGACACACACAGCACCCCAGACACACACAAGTGCACCCAGACACACACAGCACCCAGACACACACAGCACCCAGACAGACACACACAGCACCCTGGGATATATATATATATATTTTTTTATTAATAAAATAAATATTTAAATTTAAATAAAAAATACATTCACACTCACACACACAGCGCCCCCAGAGACACATAGCGCCCCCAGAGACACATAGCGCCCCCAGAGACACACAGCGCACCCAGACACACACAGCACCCAGACACACACAGCACCCCCAAACACACACAGCGCACCCCAACACACACACAGCACCCCCAGACACAGCACCCAAACTAACACTGCACCCCCAGACACACACAGCACCCTCACTCACACTGCACCCCCAGACACACACTGCACCCTCACTCACACACACAGCACACTCCCACACATATACAGCACACACATATATATATATATATATAATAATAACCCTCAGTGAGTTAACAGACAAAGAAAATTAGAAACCTAGAATGTGACAGCAGATAAAAACACCCTCACACACAGCACCCCTCTTACATACACACACTGCGCCCCTCACACATACAATAAGTCCAAATATATATATATATATATATACATACACACACACACACACACACACACACACTACAGCACCCCTCACACTGCACCACTACACACATTACGCTCCAGATAACACTAGATCCCTTACCCTATATGCACTCTTAATCCTTTACACAGTAGATCTCCTACACACACACACACTACATTCCTTGTCAGCAAACACATACAACATTCTCTAAACACACCCTCTCTGTAACCCCTACACACACTACGTCACCTATACACATACACTTCAGCCCGTATGCACTCTCTCGCTGCATCCCACACTCTCTACAGCCCCTAGCCACACATATTACACCACAAACACAAATTAAATTGACCTATTTATACAATACCACAATACACACACGCAATCCCACAAGCAGGCTGCAAACATATGCACCATGCACTTTCCTGGCCCTTTTGTCCTCTGGTATCCCACTTGTGGAGACACCAGAGACAATTTAAAAGCAAACACAGCGCAAGCATGTTATTAAATTTGCTTGCGCTGCGCAGAATAAATTCAGGGCCTTTTTCTAGTGCCAGAGCTCTTTAGCAGGGCTCTGCGCATTGAACCAACATGCTCACTTTGAGAGGGGGCGTGCTTGTCATTAGTGATGACAAAACACACACTTTCTGGCCCCGCCCCCTTCTTAGGGGGCCGCTCTGATTGAAAAATGCCCGGGCCTAATTTTTTCCCCAGTCCGGCCCTGATTTGTATATATATCTATGTATATAAAAATAATAAGAAATATACATATGTCCATATACAAAATTACATAAATAATTATATAAATATACACGTAGACTTCAAATATATAAATATGCATATATATTTAAATTCTACGTGCGTATTTATGTAATAGTTTTACATAATTCAGTAATTTTATTGATTGCAATTTAAGGGACCTGCCTGCCAACCCAGGCCGAAATTCCAGAGAATTGAATTTGCTAGCACTGTATTTTACCCTGTAACGTTCTACGACACCCTAAAACCTGTACATGGGGGGTACTGTTTTACTCGGGAGACTTCGCTGAACACAAATATTAGTGATTCAAAACAGTAAAACATATCACAGCGATGATATTGTCAGTGAAAGTGACTTTTTTTGCATTTTTCACACACAAACAGCACTTTTACTGATGATATAATTGTTGTGATACGTTTTCCAGTTTTTAAACACTAATATTTGTGTTCAGCAAAGTCTCCTGAGTAAAACAGTACCCCCCATGTACAGGTTTTATAGTATTTTTGAAAGTTACAAGGTCAAATATATGGGTCAAATATTTTTACATTGAAAATGGCCAGGTTGGTTACGTTGCCTTTGAGAGCGTATGGTAGCCCAGGAATGAGAATTACCCCCATGATGGCATACCATTTGCAAAAGAAGACAACCCAAGGTATTGCAAATGGGGTATGTCCAGTCTTTTTTAGTAACCACTTGGTCACAAACACTGGCCAAAATTAGCGTTCAATTTAGTTTTTTTACTTTTTTCACACACAAACAAATATGAATGCTTACTTTGGCCAGTGTTTTCGACTAAGTGGCTACTAAAAAAGACTGGACATACCCCATATTGAATACCCTGGGTTGTCTACTTTAAAAAAAATATGTACATGTGGGGTGTTATTCAGAGATTTATGACAGATAATAGTGTTACAATGTCACTATTGATAAATTTAAAAAAATTATGTTTTGAAACCGCAATATTCTACTTGTACCTATAGCCCTATAACATGCAAAAAAAAGCAAAAAAGCACGTAAACACAGGGTATTTTTAAACTCAGGACAAAATTTTGAATCTATTTAGCAGTTTTTTTAATTCGCTTTTGTAGATGAGTAAAAGATTTTTCAAGTAAAAGTCAAAAAACATGTATTTTTTTCAATTTTTCATCATATTTTTTTATTTTTTTTAAATTAAAATACATGAGATTATATAAATAATGGTATGTAAAGAAAGCCCCTTTTGTCCTGAAAAAACAATATATAATTTGTATGGGAACAGTAAATGAGAGAGCGGAAAATTCCAGCCAAACACAAACACCACAAAAGTGTAAAAATATGCCTGGTCGCAAATGTACAACATCGCAAAAACAGTCCAGTCCTTAAGGGGTTAAAAAAAGACAGGGTACACTCCGTAGTTCTTTCATACAATCTATGAAATAGGATAGAAAAGTCTATCATAAAACATCTAGCAAGCAAGTGTAAAAAATCTAAATATTGGGGAAAAAATACAGATTTTACTATAAAGTTTTGTCTATTGTGCTTTTAAAGATATTTCCATTTTTCTTGCATATTTATCACTATATTCTGCAACTTTACTACAGAAAAATGCATAAATAGTGAGCCTTAGACACGTAAAATATATTTGCACCAACTAAACATAAAACATACCAGAAAACATATTAATCTGGTGTTTTTTTACCGAATGCAGACAGTTGGAGATTAGACGCGTAGGCTTCAAGTTTAAATGTATTTTTTCCCCCTGAACCAAATCTCTACATTAATTTTCTGAGACAGAAGAATTTCTTAAATAAATGGTCAAGTGACTGACTGTACATATCCATTTGTTTCAGGAACAGAATATTGACAGTCTGCTTACCGCTTTCAAACATGTAGAGTTTGAATAAATGGAACATGTTCAACGTGTAGCTGGGTAAAAGCTACATCTTGTAACCAGAATAATGTATTAGCACCAAGTATTTCTTGAGGTAATGTTATATCAAATCGCTTGATAGACGGTTGTTTTCCATCTAGTGATAACCTAAAACCTCTATGTCTCTTCAACAGCATTTATGCCATGCAAGCATCTAAGCAGCTAAATTCCCCATGATCCTTCACCAGCAGTTGTGGTCAAAGAGTAAGGAAGTTTCTGACAGACGGTGAAAGTAGAACAGAAGCCATGGCTGGGGTCATGGTGGAACACCAGAAACGCAAAACAGCAGTAATAGCATGACCAGGACACACAAGAAATCTGATTAGATTCCGAACTTGAAAAATTACTGTTTTGAAGGGACTATGACCGGTGGAGTCTAAAAATAAACTGGCAAATTGGCCTTTAATCATGTAGCCAAAAATCATCCATGCTCTCCCTATTTTAGATACTGTGTCAAGGGCTACTCCAACCCCTATGACCACTTTTGTCATGCTGGTGAAAGATGTAGTGAGCTTCTCCCTTGTAGACACAGAGCCTGCAAGGGAAAGCTTCAGGGTCTCCTTCCTCTTTCAAGCACTCCCCACCTCCATCTGATTTTAACATTTACCCTATTTTTTATAATTATAGCCCCCCTCGGTCCTCCCACTCCTCACCATCCTAGAAAACATGCAGTCTGAGCCAGTGAAACAGTACAGTAAAATGTTTCTCCCGAGAAGCATTGATTGTACCACGGATGACAGTGCATGAAGAAAGGACATAGAAATTAAATTAGGAGCACCTGCTCAGCACTGGATGCGAGGTAAGTTTTAAACTATTAATAGGGTTGATTTTATTAAATAAGAGGCTGGACTAGATCAATAGTGCCAATAGGGCATATTAAAGCTAAAAAAAAAAAATTGTGGAAAAAGGGCTATAGTAACCTGTTCAGCACTAATATGCTCGTCTTACAGCTGCAAACTGTGCAAAATGTAAGGTGCGACACCATATTCTTTACACCAGTAATGACTATCTTTGAGCTATTGTGGACTACATTTCCCAAAACGCTTAGTTAATCTACTGAAGTTACTTATTTAAGTTATCAATAAAAAATGTTCTGCTATGGACGCTATCTATCTATCTGTCTGTTTGTCTGTCTGCACAGGCTGATA